GAAGCTAAGCTATCGAAGGAAAGATAGATGGGCGGATAGAAGTGACAAGAAGACGAGGAAGAAGACGTAAGAAGATGCTGGATGACCTTGGGGACAGAAGAGGATACTGTCATTTGAAGGAGAAAGCTCTAGATCGCATTAAGTGGAGGAATTGTTTTGAAAGAGACTTTGGACCTGTCGTCTTGACAGATTACTGATGATGATGATGATATGAACAGTCATTTTATAAATTAGTGAAGCAAGATTAAAATCAAGATATTTGAAATAAATTTATATGTTGTACCTGTAAAGAAAACTGGTTGTGGTAGTTTGCTGCCAATCTTAATTTTAGTCTTCCGGTGTTGATGGTGAAATTTTGACACATCGGGTTTAAAGACCTGTGAAGGTGTGAACATCCTCCGACAGCAATGCACACAGCAACCATAGATGAGGCGGAACAGTGCTTCCATAACCTCAACCAACATTAGCAGTGTAATTCCCAGGTATAAGCTGAGAGCACCACCCAAAGAACCAACAAATGTTTGCACCTACAATAAAAAATGACATAATTTTATCATAATTCATTTTTCAGTTGTTCTAAAATCAGAGTTTGGTGCCATTGAAATCGCCATGACAGCACAGAAAAAGAATCAATCCTTATTTTTTGTGGTCTGTAACGTAGAAATTTATGTTTGTTCCTTAGTATCCTGCCATGAAAATGTGGTTGGAGTTCAGGATCCATACACTCCCAAATCTTGACAAAGGAATGAAGTAAGTTCATATTGAAGATGAAGTAGTAATTATTGATACAATATAATACTGAATGACATAATTTTCCTTGCCTTTTGACATTACTAGCATAGTTAAAAAATTAGTTTTAATGGGCTAATTATATGTACTATATAGGATGGTGGAAACAAATATGAACACAATCCTAGTGAGAAATCCTATATAAATCGGCAACGTAGAAGACCACCAAGTAGACACAGGAATAACATTGTCACGTGTAGAGTGACTATCAAAGGGGTTTTGATTGGTGAGTGGATTTCTTGACTATTTATATGCACAATTCATAACTACAATTAACTATAACAGCCTCACTGGTTTACACACTCTAAAGATCACTGTAACTGCAGTGCACATAAAGTCTCCTATGTCATCACTGGTCATTTCCTGGTAATGGATCCTAACAATGTCCTCTGCTAACGTCCTTACCGGCTGACGAATATCCCACAACTGACTCATTGGTCCAATTGACTAACCCCCAGGCTGGTGACCATATCACATATCACATTAAGCGTAGATGCTTCAAAATATGCATCACATATCAAAACAAATTATCCCTTACTTCCCAGGAGCTTCTATTTTTAGTACCTGATATTACTCTTTATGCGTCCCACCCACTGGGTGCTGGGTACCAGCAGTCATTTGCTTGAGTGATCGAGGCATGAAGCTGACCAGTCACCTCCATCTAATGCTGAGGTCAAGAATGGTGGAGCTATATCTCCACTCCACTATATGTCTTCATTGCTTAGACACAAGGACAAATTTACCTTTACTTTACCTTTATACATATTGTAAAGCCATGATAACTTGCCTTGTAAGTTGGACTCTGTTCAACTGACTTGACCCTTAGATTCTCAAAATAAACATCAATCTTGAGAAGGTTATTCTGAATCTTCAGTTTATCTTGATGGTGTGATCTACCTCCGTACTCATGGTCAGCTATTTCACATTCTTCAATCAAGGAATATTTACTTGCTAGATTGCACTGAAAATATTCCAAATAATCCAGATCTCAAAAGTTCTGAAAGAAACAGTACTTTTGTCTAAAATGTGTTCTCAAAGAGACACTTGTATTCACATTAGATTTTTTTTTACACAAAATAATATAAGGTTTGAATATAGACACTTAATATAATTAATATTCATTATAATTATAATTAACATGAATATAATTGCCAGATAAAATTAAGGAAGTGGAAAAAATGAGGGAATTTAAAAGAGCTGAGATCCTACCTATTGCAATATACGTTTTACTCTGTAGATGAATATATGTCATTTAAGATCTAAAAGTTTGTAGCGATGGTAAATTGCTCCAAGTACTATGTTTTTGGACATTATCCATCATTTTGTATATTTAAAAAAAATAAATAAACAGGATTTTTTTTTAATAGACAAGACAGTGGATAATGTCCAAAAACATAGACTTGTAGTAATATATGTCATGTTAATAAGCAGCATATAATACTTCAGTTGCTTCATTTTTGTGAATATTATCTGTATTATGTGGTACTGTGAAGGAACTTGGCTGAATTGTTTATGTTACTTTTAGATGTGTACGTAAGATATATCCTATCACAATAATTTGACCAAAATGGATGAATAGAATCAAATTG